TGGCACATTTCATATCTTATATTTTATGTTTTTCCAATATGTTGAATTTGTGCACTAAAATTTGCAGAATTATGCCACATTTAAGTTGGTTCACTACAAAAGATGTGTTAACTTTTTTTCACTTAGGAAACCAACAAGACTTGTAATATGATTGGGGTCTTCAAACTTTTGCATGGATCCGTGTGGCGCAAAAGCTGTTACACATGGTTCTTTAAAAATGGTTCTATATAGAGCCAAAAGTAATAATGTTAGACACCATGGAAGCTTTATCTGGTACTAGACAAATTCTGTGTGCAACATCAATTAGTTATGTTCACTGTCCTGCATGTCACATTATATGCTAAGTGTTCTCTGGCGAATGGCCTACCATGCAAGAAAAGGACAACATTCTATTTGGGTCATGTATGTGGCCTCTTTTTTTCTAAAGAAACAAAAAAATTGTTTGTAAAACATTGGAAACAACAATGGCAATAAAATGTCTTAAAAAATAAGACCAAAAAGTGCTTCATTTTGCTACTGCAATTTATTTTTTCACTGGCACTGAAAACTATGTAAGTTTAATGTAAGATTTGGGGGTTTGGAGACCTCTCTGGTGTAAATGTGCACACAACACATGGTAGCATGTAACATGGGTTGTGCTGAGCAGAATGTTGATTTTGCATTTGAGACAGATGTTGTTTTTGACTGCATATGACGCTGATATGTAAAGACATATGATGTGGCCCAAAAAACTACCAACCCAACACCCCTGGCTTTTAAATGATTATTTTAGGCTTTACAGGGCGACACGAAGCAGTGCACACACCATATTTTAGCATGTCTACTGATTTAGTAAGGCTACTTCTTTAATTTTTACAAAAGAAGCTTAAATAGTCCTGTTTTAAGTTGTGCCTCATCCTGTTTCACTCTCTGTTGGTTGCTTTTATATGTGCATTATAGCAGGAATCATATATCACATGAGAGAGAGAGAGAGAGAGAGAGAGAGAGAGAGAGAGAGAGAGAGAGAGAGAGAGAGAGAGAGAATGAAGCGAATGAACACTGCTATTCTTAATCTGTGACTTTTTCTGTGATAGTATTTCCCGTGCCAACAGCAGATAATGCTAATGGAGAGCTTAGCCTGCTGCTAATACATTTAGATCTCATTAATCGATGTGCCGAGGTCATTCTTGCTCTCTGGATCTGATAAGGGCCACTCTTCCAGGCGTAGCCCTCAGGGATGCGCTCAAGCTGGACATGGGGAGGACGAGTCACCCCTGGAGCTCCAGAACACTGTGAATAAGCTTCAGCTGTCAGTATCTCAGTCATTCATGTGATCTTAAGCAGAGCAGATGGGCTTACTCGTACCCACTGCTGACAGAGGACTGAAGGATTTGCATTAGTGTGGATGGAATGCATCTACTGGCTTTTCATGTAGAGCAAGTGTTCAGGCTTGGCTGGCTCAGTGCTAATGTAGTGCAATGTTTTCTCATTGTTCACAGCAGCTATGATGCATCTTGGGAAATGAAGTCCTTTTAGAAGAACAGTATGTTTTATGCAGCATCTAGGTTCTGTATTTTTGTGACAGTGGCTGCTGTTGTTTCCTTGAAATAATAGTGTATTTCTCTACACATTCCATATAGGACAGCTCAGCAAATCCATTTGCAAATAGATTTATTCAAGTTAACCTTTGATGGGGGTTGAGAGATTTAAATGTTATTGCATAAAGGGGAATTCCACTAAATTTTTAAAATATCTGGCTAATTAAATGGCTGAGATGTAAACAAGATCATCTAGAGTGGTTTGATGTGAAATTCTCCATGCTAGAGAAACCTACCAACTCAGAACTTTATACAGTGGTGGTGATAGGAGCCAGATATCCGAAGCGTTGAATGCCTCTAAAAGCTTCCTCACAGAAAGTTATTACACAAACTCGTAACAAATACACCTACTGATGAGTTTTATGCTAGTTTTTCAAGGTTTTTCAAGGTTTTTCATGGCAGTGAGGCACATGCAGGACAAGACAAAATAGGCCCAAAGAAACCATATTTTGACTAATTTAGGATGACTATTTTTTACACGACATATAAAACTGAAATATAAAAGATGTGTAGGTTCACTGGTTGTTTAAAAAATGGCTATATTTGCATTGTAGATATCTCGACCCCTGCTTATTATCACCACCACTGTAAAGAAATCTGCACTTGTAAGTTTCTCTAAGATGCACCATTTTACATCAAATCACTCTGATTTTTCATGTCAAAATGACTGAAATATTTAGTTGAATTCCTTTGTAAATTCATCCAAAATCATTTGAATTGTAGCTTATCTTCTGCTGCAATATATGGTTCCAATATTTCTCTTGAACAACATTACAGCATTTAAACGCCTGAATAAACAGACCATTCTTCGTCAAAATATACCTTTTCACTTCAGCCCTGGGTTGCAGATCAGTCGTTCAGAGGTTGGATGGAGCTGGAGAGCCTCATTCTCACCCTTCTCCATGGACACTATCAGTTCTGCAGTGGAGATCAATGACGGTTGCTAACGGAGATGAGATTTTCCTCCATTACGGACGAAGACTCTTCAGACCTGCAAAGATTGAATCATGTGTCTGGGCATTTTGCAGAGCATAGTTTCTTTACAGCACCATGATCTATAAGTGGAAATGGAGGTATACTGTAGATATATTCAATTTGTCGGTGATGTTATAATGGAGACATTTGCTATACTTTATATTTATTGGATATGTACACGTGCCAAACTTCATCCAGGTTGGTGAACCAGTGCCTTTGTTTTTACAGAGTAGATACAGATTTCTACATTCTCAGTTTAGATTCTCATCTGTAACTCCAACTCATCCACTCCTCTCTGACCATTTGTAATGGCTCTAGTGGTGGCCATGTGGAACGTGATGACTGGCGAAGCTTATTGAGTAGGATCTCAGTGCCTGTGTGTAGGTGTAGTCACGAGCATATGATCTCTGCAGCTGTTTGATGATTTAACCTTTAGGTAGGTGACTCACTCTCCAAGCCATATGACCCATGACTAAGTGGCTGTGCGGGAAAAGTTACAGCTTTGGGATATTTTCTTTAAAGCAGCAGTCTCCATTTGGATAGATCCACCCAGGTGCCTGGTGTCATTTACATGTTCAGTTTTAGGTTGTTATTATGTTGGCCCCTTGCTGCACTAAGCAATGAAACTCTTCTGCCACTTTTTATGCACATCAAAATTCACATAAAGGGCTAATTTAACACCTACAGGTTTGAATGAATAACTACAGTGTTCATACTGGGCACAAAAGAGCATTGCATTTTTCCACTGTTTTTTCCACTGGCCGTCAGTCCAGTACAGATGTTTTTAATGTGTTTGGCTGTGTTTGGTAATGGCTCAAAATTAGTACCAACTGAACCTAAGGTACATTAGCACATGTCTTCTGCAGCTGGAGCCAATGACAGTTGAGCAAATCTTTACACGGCTAGGTGAAGATAAAGTCAGGAATCACTGCTCTATCACCAATAAGTGCACCAGAATATAAGCTAGAATGATGTGTTGGATGTGGATCACTATTTTTAGAATTATAGGAAAGAGTTCACTAATGTGGCATAGGCTGGAAGCTAATAAGCATTTATAATACCCTCCACAAAAGGAGTGTTTTTGCCGATTTTCATGCTTGACAGAGAAAAATATAAGCTTAGTTTGATTCTACACATGATTCTGAATAACTGTGGACATTTTTTTGTGAGTGCAGAAACATCCACAATATCATTTCATATCAGGCAAGTTAAACTAACTAGCAAGAGAAGTTTCTGATTATCCAGTTAATTATACAGTGGCAGAAAATTATTATATTAATAGTGTATATAGTGGTTGCAGTCATATTGCAGGTGGGTGGAAAATGAACTAGAACCAGAACCATAAATTTGGGTCAGTTCTTGTTTTTGAATATTCTGTGGGGGACAAAAGTTTTTTGGCTTTTTACTTGCACTTCATAGTAATAATAAAAGTACACTCTTAGCAAAAAGAGTTCTACATAGCACCAAAACTCATTCTATAATGTAACAATAGTGGAACTCTTTTTGGTGCTGGAACAATTTAAACCATATGGAACAAGTTTTCAATCACATACACTTAAAAAAAAGATGGTTCTCCAAGGGTTCTTTAGTAAAGGCAATGGTTCTATTTAGAACTATGAGTTCTATATAGAACCATTTTATGCTTAAATCGTTCTTTGCATGGTGATATGGTTCTTCAGATTGATGAAGAATGAGTTGTATATGGTTCTAAATTGACCTTTTTATTTGAAAATGGTTCTATATAGCACCAAAAGGTTCTGCTATCATTACAATGTCAAGCTTGTCACAATAGCAGAACCCTTTTCAAAAAGGTTCTATATAGAACCATATGTAACACATTCTCCATCAATCTGAAGAACCATTTCACCATGCTAAGAACCATGCATTTAAATGGTTCTTTGAGTTGTCACAGTTTTGTGTAACTATAATTTTAATAAGGAAAACGTGAAGAAGCACTTTGTGAGGTCCAGTTCTCCTCTCTGTGTTTGGTAAGAGCAGACAGTGCAGCGCAGCTCCGGATCTTACAGACAAACTACAAGCGGAAAGCAGTCGGTGAGAAGCGCGTAGCTAATTAAGCAATTACTTTCCGACTCCGGCCCCGTTTGTTTGGGAAGATTACAGTATTTATTTGCGCTTCTGGAGAGGCCGGTCCCCTTTAATTTTGTTTTTCCTTCGGGGGGCTGTCTTCTGATCACCTGTCAGGCGCGGCGCATGCGCGCTGCCGGTTGGAGGGAGAGGCACGGCTCTTGGTATTATCGACGGACACCATCGAGGGGCGAGACGAGCGAATATGGAGAAATAAGAACGACATGCCATCGCCAGCTGCCGATCTGACCGCCTCGTCCGGACGCAAAGAGCGGCGCGCGACTCGCTGAAGGCGGCTGCTGCTGGTGGTGGTGGTGGTGCTGTTGGCGGCGGTAGCGGGGGTGTTGGGGTGGGGGGTCGATCATGGGGAACGAAGCGAGCGCGGAAGGGGCCGAAGGGGGGCTCGCTGGGCTACCAGCGGGTCTCGCGCCTGACGGCAAGGGAGGCTTCGCGGAGGCGGACCTCAGCCATCTGAGCGAGGACGAGAGGAAGCAGCTCGTGGCCGCGATGGCCAAGGCGCAGTCCAGGCAAGTGAACCAAGTGACACCAGTGGGCTCCAACTGCGTTTTCCAGCAGTGTTTCCGTTTTTCTTTCCTCCTTTTTTTTTCTTTTTGGTTCAGTTCAAGGATGTGCAGCTCTCTGCTGTGTGTGTGTGTGTGTGTGTGTGTGTGTGTGTGTGTGTGTGTGTGTGTGTAAGTGTGTGTGTGTGTGTTAGCGGACGCTGGGCTTTGGCACGAGGGCACTGCAGGTTTGGCACAATCACGACCGCAGCATGGGGGGCAAAAACACACCCATTCACAATCAGAAATGCAAAGAGCTAATGTAAACGACCCGTGTGCTAGTGCAATCTGAATGTGCCAGTGAGCGGTGGTCTGGTCCATGGACCACCGCTTCCTGCCAAACACCCACCAGCTTCTAGTCTAAGCGCTGGAACCAGGGTTATCGTGGTGGGCCGTGAAATATCATTCAGGGAGCTGACTGAAGGATCATATCCCTGCCTAGTTCATCAGAGCGCGAATTGCTCGATGGGTGAAGATGCCGTGCCAATTATGTTTTTTTTTTTCTTTTTTTTTTGGTACTTCCTCCACCCCCTTCGTGTCTCCATCTTCTTCTGTTCTTCCTTCTTTTCGTCGATCTGTAAATGAATGGTCGCCCCGTCGCTTCTCCCATCCGCACACACCCCCCTTCCTATGGGCTGTGTAGGTGATGTCATAAGCGCTGCTTTGGAAAACACTGGCTGGGAATAACACGCCTTCGACGCAGCTCGACAGGGAACGCGTGAAAATTTCGACCAAAGGCAGTAATGCAGCTCCTGTTCCCCGCTGACATCTCCGCCAAACAAACAAACTGAGGCTGAACAGGACAGGAAGCGCAGTGCCCCCCTCGCGAAAATTATTTTTATCCAGCTAAAGAAAAAGCAAGGGGGGAGGGCAGAGGGTATAAATATTAATATGACTATATATAGCACCGCGAGCTCGAATGCCATCGTGCTCATTGATTCTCTCTCCGTGTTTCTCGGTGGAACGTATAGGGTTACGAGTGAGAACGGAGGGGATCGAACGTTATGAGGAAGCGAGCGAGCTTTTCCTTCGCTGTCCGCGGTGCTGAAATCAGCCCTGGGCGTGTAGAGCGAAGCGCCTCTGAGATCAGAGAGAAGCGCGTCGCTGTCACGCAGTGGACAGTTCCACTCAGATCACTGTGTCTCTCAGAGCGCAGTTGATTCAGCGTCTAGAGTTTGATTCGCAGGTATTACTGAATGAAGCATTGCTTAGAATGAGGTATTGATTAAGAGTGAACGTCTAGACAAGCAGACTCCCTCAACCTGTTAAAGTACTTTTATATGGCCTCGGTGATTATATGGTGTTGTGTGGCGCTTGTGTGGAGGCCAAATAGCTTCTCTTTAGCTGCACAGCAGGACTCAGATGTGTTCAGATGTTGTTGTTAAAAAGTATCATGCTCTAATTAGGTCATGTGTATGCTTGGAAGAGGCATTAGGCTTCAGCGGTTTGCTTAAAGCTGAATACTTGCACCCCGAGCTGCTTTTGTATTTGATGTCAATTTGCCATGTCATGCAGTGTCTCATCTGATCTGCTGTGGCCTGCTATTGATTATCCTCCGGTTTCGAGACTGGACACTTTAAAAACAAACAATGTTTTGTATGAAGCATGTTCTATGCTGCATACTAAATAACATGATTTTGTTTGTTTGTTTGTTTGTTTGTTTACTGGGAAACATATTTAGTGGACTTAAGTGTGTGAAATGTAAGAGTTTTTGAAAAATTAGCATAGTTATTATCACCAACATAACAAGACACAAGGCAAGCACTGGACTTTTCCTGTGTCTACTGGCTGTACAGTTGCATTAAAAAGTCTTTGGACTCTTGAAATGACCTGGATTTAAATAAGCTCCTAAAGTGTTTGTCATCTTAATTTTATATCATAATAATAAAAGAAGAGATTTTTAACACAAAGAATATGCACAGATTGACATTGATATTACATTCTACATAGATTTATACGTAATGTTATACATATTACATACATTTTATATGCAAGCTCACTGTCATAGACAGCAATAACATTTCTGTGTTTCAGAAATAACACTACTGAAACACAGAAAATGTTCAGTTTTTTATTTGTGTCTGTTATCCTGATTATAATAAAAAAATAATTTTTCAAAATCTTGCAGATTTTGCCAGCATCCAGCATACTGGACAGTAAAATTCATTGAAATCACTAAAAAACAATGTTATCCCCATATTGATAAAACATCATCTACTTTCACTCCTAAATAAACCTCTACCTCTAAAATCTTGAATGATTGTGTTGTGTAATGCATTAGTCTATTACACTAATGAAAGAATAGCTTACTACACTGTGTCCAAATGTCTAGATTACTGGATTTGTCACTCTCGGAAAATCATGTGTGACACTGTCACTGGTACCCTCAAGGGTACATATCAGTACCTTTAGCCAGGGACCATAACTGTACCATAATAATAATCCATTCAAATTATATTTCCTAAGTTTTATTGACTCCACACACCCCGTCTCATCTCCAGGCTTTTTATTTTATTGTTCTGTTTTAAAACATTAGGTCATGAAAAGATACAAATATGTACTTTTCACCTGGAAAAACGTATTTTCAATATACAGAATTGCTGTTGTACCTTTGAGGGAACAATTACATTGTTTGTACCTTGATGAATGAAAAATGTACCTGCACAGAACCTTTATTTCTAACAGTGAATGCAGAAATAAAAATCTCCTGTTTCCTTTTTTACCTTTCACAAAAGGGACATTCTAGAAGGACATACAATCCAAACAATGTCTTAAAAACAAAATAATAGAGAAACAGTACTTCATGTGGTCTTGGAGGTGGTGAACGTCTATCTTGCCAGCTGCCATGTTTGTTTTTGTTTATGACAAGATAAAAAGGAAAACATTCTATTAAATAATCAAACAATACAAAAACTGAGTTCTGGAATGCATAAAAGTGTGTGTGGTGATGTACCTGCTTCCATAAAGCTAGAATACCTGGGATAAAATGTCCAGTACGGTGGACATTTGGAATATGTATGGATAATATGTCCACAACAGGGCTGAGGCTGTATTTTGTTTTGCGATGGCAATTAAGAAGGTCTTATCGGTCTTATTACACCGTCCATTTATAATGTGAATTATTTATTTGTATATTTCTTTGTTCACTCCACAGGTCATCAGAGCCTCAGCCATCTGGAGCGCGAGGTCCGTCTGGGCTCAGTAAGAGTCGGACTGTAGACGCATTTGGAGAGGGACCACCCCCCAAACCAAAGCCTGGCCGCAGCCCCTCATCCCTGAGTCTCCTCGAGTCCCGCTTCAGGCAGGAGCCCAAAGACCCTGAGCAGCCCCGCACTGGCATGTTCTCTTCTTCTTTCCTGAGCGGGGCAAACCCCCTTAGTGCTGTCTCTTCAGCTGTCTCCTCTGCCAGCATCCCCAAGTTTGGCCTATTTGGGGATGATGAGGAGGATGAGGCAGCCAAGCAGGGAGCAAAACCTCCTGGCCCCCAGGCTGGCGCAGGGAAGGGTCCCCCTCAGCAGGGCCCACCTAAAGGACAAGGACCACCCCAGCAGAAACAGGGAGCGCCACCACAGGGGCCTGGAGGAAAGCCTGCTGGTCCTGGTCCCCAGCAGCAAGGACCCAAACCTGGTGGCCCTGGGCCACAGCAACAAGGACCCAAACCTGGTGGGCCTGGCCCTCAACAGCAAGGACCCAAGCCTGGTGGTCATGGGCCTCAACAGCAAGGACCCAAACCTGGTGGGCCTGGGCCTCAACAGCAAGGACCCAAGCCTGGTGGGCCTGGGCCTCAACAGCAAGGACCCAAACCTGGAGGCCCTGGACCCCAGCAACAAGGGCCTGGTAAGCCAGTTCCAGGAGGCCCAGGCAAACCCACTGGGCCACGGCAAGGCCCTGATGGGCCTGCAAAGCCTGTACCTCAGCAGCAGGGTCCATCAGCAAGCCCAAGTAAAGGTGGGCCTTCTCCAGGGAAGGCTGCTGGAGCGCTGTGTCCTCTTTGTAAAACCACTGAGATGAACTTGCAGGCCAAAGACCAGCCGCCCAACTACAGCTCCTGTACACAGTGCAAACAACAGGTGTGCAGTCTGTGCGGCTTCAGCCCTCCTGATTCAGCGGTAAGATCCCTGCTGCACAAATCATAATTCTCAAATCAACCCCTAAACACTTTTATAGACCATATACAGACACCAAGCCTGATTCTGCTGGTGAAGGCAATTAAGTCCTGAATTTAAAGATAAGTAGATAATGTCATTTGTGACTACTAGAATAAGGTGTTCGAATTTAAGCAGATAAACAATATTTGAGCTATTTGAGTGCCTTTATCTTGGTCCCCTTCAGCAGGGCCCACCTAAAGGACAAGAGCTGCCCCAGCAGAAACAGGGAGCTTAGTGTGGAAACATTGTTTAGTGTGGAAACAATGCAAAGGCCAGCCTGTGTAGTGTGTATGTTTATGGATCAATTACACACCTATGCATCATTTCTCAAGAACTTGTTAGAAGTCCAAATATAAGTTTGCTTAAGTCTTTGAAGACCGGCTGGGTTTGATTTGCAAGGTTGCTCACCCAGTACTGGTAGAGCTGATGCCTGTATCAGTCTCCCCCAGCCTGAGGCGAGAGGGACCATATGGGCTCCAAGGGGGAAGATTATCAAGGTGACTCACATCATCCAGGGAGGAAGTGCAGAAGGTTGCCATTCACTGTGTTTGGAAACCAATCTGAGAATAGCAAAGCCTGAGAGAGCGCAAAGTGTTGTTTACTGTTCTCTTCAGAGTGGAGAATTACAAAGCTGGGTGCTGGTGGAAGTGTATATTGAGTGGCCTCAAATAACAGTATCAGTAGATATCTACGTATAGAGGTATCAGTTTTCTCTATTATTCCCTGCATCAGCTGTAGTCAGTACATATCCTTATATGCAAAGAACAGACACAGGCAATAAAATGTTTTCTGGCACAACATTTTACCACAGTCTTCCATGAGTCTAATCCTTGGGGGGCTACAAGACTGCACAGTTTATTGCTTACTGTGCTTCAACAAACCTGATTCAACTCATGATGACCTTGATAATCAGCTAATGAGCTTAATCAGATGTGTTGAAAGAGGAAAAGCAATAAACCGTGCAGTGCAGTGAACCTCAAGGATTGGATTCAGGTTCCACTGTTGAACTGTACCCTGTCTACAGTGACAGTGAAACAAAATGAAATTCAAGTATCCCTGTAACACATAAATGTCCAACAGATTCATTTCCCATTATGTACATTTTATCCAGTGGGGATGGATATTTTTCTATAACAGGAAATTTACCTATGAATATATTTGATAACATGCTTTCTTTAACGTATTGAGTAATTCTGTTTTATGATTAACTGTAAATAAAAGATAGTTTTTAAATTGATTGATGAACAACTGGAACACTCTCCAAGCTTTATAAACAGGTGACCTTTGAATTTATGAGCTACAAACCTTCTATGAGCAAAGGGAAGGTAATTGTCTGTGTAATCAGTGCATTGTATTTTAATGAGTGAAAATGAAATGGTTTTGTATTTCTTGCGTATCCTTTCATGTCTCCCTGTCTTGGACTGTTTTTAATTCTTTTCTCAGGGTAAAGAGTGGCTGTGCCTGAACTGCCAGATGCAGCGAGCAATGGGGGGCATGGAACCCCCTGGCCCCCCAATGATGAAACAGCCTCCCAAGCAGGGCTCAGCCCCTCCATCACCACAGAGAAAGGAACCACCACCTGGATCACCTGCCAAGGATGAGCCAGGAAAGAAGCCTCCAATGCTGAGCAAGCAGCAGAGCATTGGTGACACAGGGAAGGGAGCCACTCCTCCAGCGACTCCCAAACAGAAGTCTCCTGGTCCAGGGCCACAGCAGCAACAGCAAGGATCTCCTAAAGGGCCTCAGGGAGCTCAGCCTGGAGCTCCAGGGTTAAAACGTGGACAGCAGCCACCTCCACTTCAGAAACCTGCACAGAGTCCTAAGGGTAGTCCCCAACCCTCTCCTGCAAAAACCACCCCAAAGCAGGACACAGGTGGCTTTTTTGGGGGGTTTGGTCTTGGAGGGTTGACGGACGTGAAAGCCCCCGCAGCGGAGTCGGTTACAGGGAAGTTATTTGCTGGTTTTGGCAGCTCATCCAAACCGCAAGGTGGCACTGCAGCGCAGGCCAGCGAGTCAGTTACTGGGAAGCTCTTCAGCGGGTTCGGTGGACTGACCGAGGCAGCCAAGCCACCAGCAGCCGCTTCTCAGGCATCCGATGGCGTATCAGGAAAAATGTTTGGGTTTGGGTCTTCTATACTTAGTTCAGCCACCAATCTCATCACCGGGGAGGACCCAAAGTCTCCCCCAGAGTCACCCCCAGGATCCCCACCTGATTCCCCCATTGATTCTGGTGCAGACTCCCCTCCGGGATCTCCTCCAGACTCAGGCTCAGAATCACCACCTGACACCCCACCTGCCTATTCCAAAGAGCCAGCCTCTCCCAAACCCAGAGCCACTGAAGGGAAGGCCCCAGCAGATAAACCCACAGTGGAGCCTGCAAAAGCAGAAGAACCACCTGCTCCAGCCCCAGGTTCAGCAGCCCATTCCTCCTGTCCACTCTGTAAAGTGGCACTGAACATTGGATCAGGAGATGCGCCCAATTACAGCACCTGTACAGAGTGCCAGAAGACTGTATGTAACCTGTGTGGCTTCAACCCCATGCCGCATCTATCAGAGGTAAGCACCACTGTCTCTACTACACCACTCCTCTGTTTCCATTGCCTGTTCTGAAAGCAAGCCACAGGTGTCAGCCTCTAGGCCTTCTTTGCCAAAATACTCAGAATGGATAAGACAGGTACTAGATGCCAGAGAACACAGCATTCAACATGCAGCATTGTCAAAAAGCATAAATGAACTAAGATAGTGTATCCTTCCACTGCACATGCACAAATTCTGCATGATTAAATGATTGTGTCCCAATCCAGGGGTTGCATCCTTTGAAGGATGCGGGCTACAAAGGTGTGTCCTTCGAAACCTGTGTAGACCCGTGAAGACTGAACTGAAATGAGATGTTTGCATCACAGCGCTGCTGTTTCTGCCCTTACCCTTGCATCATGAGACGCTGCTCCTGTCAAGTTCTTTCAAAGTGCTTTAAAGATGGAGCCAGAAATTTTGATTTTAGTTTTTTATTTTTTCATTTATTAGAACTGGAGATGCTTCACAGTTGGCACGTGAATGTTAGCGTATGTTTTGCTTTAGACCACATTGGCTTTTTTTTAACATTCGTATCGTTGGCTATTCGACTCAGTTTAAACCCAATATTTACATTTAAAAGTGTCTCCTCAGCCGCCTCCTCTGCTGACGCCACCATGTTCTCGAATCCTTGCCGGCATGCAATGAACCTCAGGATATGTTGGCTGTCGAAGGATCCACCCGTTGAATCCTTGGTGCCATGGAAAAGAAGGACACATTTCTCGTCCGCATATGAAGGAGCCTTCAAAACGGGACAGCCTAGTCGTGCCACCTCCGAAGGATGCAGCCCTTGAATTGGGACACAGCTAAAGTCATTCTGAGTGGTTTGATGTGAAACTTGGAGTCAGAATTGTTCACAGTGGTGGTGATTAGAAACAAGTTTATTTTTCTAAATGAAAACGTTTTAAATCAAATATACCCCTTTCCAAAAAATGACTGTAGTGTACCTTTAAAACTTATTTAAGGTACAGGAACAGACCTTAAATTGGACCTTAGTTGTACCTTTCAGGGTACATTTCTACAGTTTGGACTTTAGTAAACAAAAATGTACAGTACATATTTCTGAAATTATAGACTAACTGATCATTTTGGATAGTAAAATATTTATATTTCCACTGTAGACACTGTGACCCCTGGCTCCTATCAACTTCCAGTATATCTCTCTACAGTGCGCCATTTCACATCAAATGGCATTGAATGACATTGTTTACATTTCAATGATTGAATTATGCAGAAATTTTGAAAAATCAGTGGAATTCCCCTTTAACACTTTAACACAGAGAACAGGCTGAGTGTGCCCTGCCAGTGATAAAGTTAGATAAACAGTGCCTTAGGATGTAAGACACTGATGTGTGAACATTAAACATTTAAAGTTGCCGTGCACTTGTCAGCTCCTGCCCAACACAAACACTTGGCCAATCCAAGATGTTATCTCCACCACTCGGCATGGCTGTCCCGCTGCTGGTGCCCCAGTGCACATGTCTGAGATCAGTGCATGTGATCTGTGGTTGACGTGATTATCCCATGTGTGCTTTTCCACTCAAATGCACAGCTTTGTTTAGAACTGTTAGAATGAAGGTTCTTTAGCCAGAGTTCTCCACCCTTTTTAAAAGCTTGATTCCATAATAACAAACACTCCATCATTTGTGTGCATGTTTCTCTGAAGTTGGAAGAATCATATTCTTTCTGAGCCCTCCTGAGATTGCTCACTGTCTGCTTTCTGATTTGCCAAGGGCCATTTTTTTATTCTGTGACGCCTTAAGTACGGCAAGAGATTGGGGTCATACCTTCTCCAGCGCTTAGTGGCAGCACATGAATTAGTCATGAATGAGCCGTCATGAAGTAATTACTTGATTGCACTAACGTTCAGCTGTGGCTTTAGTCACAGCAGATGCAGGATATGCAAGCATGATGATGTACTCAAAAGCTGGTGCCTATTATTTTCCTAGATGACTGAAAATTTCTTGCCTAATTATGGATGGGTAATATTAATATGATGATTTTTATCAATATTATGATAAATTACATGTTACACTATGTTTTCCTGAGCATATCGTGGGTATCATCTGTACTTAAAGAACACTGGCCAGCAACATGTTTCATTAGAAGGAGAGTGTTTTAATAGTTTTTGATAGTATGCTTTAAAGTGGCACCTCTGGTTCCTTTTTTGTCTGTTCCAACTAATCAAAACTATAAATCTAATACTGTGATATACATATCGTCAGTGTCAAAACCAAATCTTGTAACTCTATTTTTGTAGCTTTTTATTTATATTTTTACAGTATTTAAAAATGCATCTTTCATTTAAACTGGGTTACTATTTCATGATTAATGGAGCAATAGGTGTGCATTAAAATTACTTGGAAAAAATCTTTTTCCATTTAAAGTGAAGAACTTTTTTCTTTGCTTCTCCTGTAAAGTTACAAATGAGGTTTTATTCCAACAGCGATGATATGCATAAATATCATGACATGCAATTTTGCCCACCGTTGTGCCTAATGTAAATTGCCAGGAAGGATTTCAGCTGTTATTGTCTTTTTGGCATGAGTGCACTAAAATATGAAACTGTAAAATCACACTGTAAAAACTGGAAGAGGTCAGAGGTTGATTTGAAGTGTTTTTGAGGTACATTGCTTTTGTTCATTTAACCTCTTTATTTTGGTTTGCATTGTTTCATAAATGAAAACCAGTTCAATTATTTGCTACATGAAAACATTTTATTTTTAGGTTGACCAGACAAACAGTGCACATATAGGATACTTCATATATCATCTGCACCAAAAGAAAGTTCAGAAGACCTGAACTGCTGTTTTATTTTTAGACTGAGGTCATTTAAAGGCACCCATAACTTTTCTTTAAAAATACAATGGGCTGCACTGTGATGCATTATGTAGTGTTCACGTGTGAGCCATCTGGTGTTTGTGTATGTGTATGTGCATATGCGTGTTGGGCTTCTCCAGCATTCTGTTGCTTGCATGCTGTAATCCTGAGAGTCTATTTCAGGTGAGCTGAGCAGATTAGCCTAACCGTGACCATCCAGCTCCACCTCACATGGCAGATCTTATGACTTCACTCCCAACGCAACAACTTAGCAAGATGGCCGCCACCACTTCATTCATTGTTTTTGGGCAAAGGTGAAAAAGTGGGCAGACGTGGAAAAACTCAGTCTTTGCCACTTTTGTGGTTGCGACTGGATTCAGCCTGTAGATTTTGTTGTAAATAATCGTAGTCAGAGTATACATGTGCCGTAGGGCCTTTGTCATGTAGTGTGGCGCTAAGTAGGGTTAAATAATTTTGGGGATTATATCGAATTGCAGTTTTTCTGACTGATATTGCGGCTATGATTTAAAGTGCAAATATTTTCTTTAAGTTAAATCCTGGCCTGTTTCTTCATCAAGAATACCAGCAAATCCACACTTTTCGAACTGTGCACCAGACTGCCAGTTATTTGCAATTGTGTTTTCATGTTTTACACAGCACATCAGTGATTGTTTGCTTTTGATTGGTCTAATTCATCTACAGGCAGTTCACAAGCTTAGTGTTATACAGGGAGATTCACTCGAAAGAGGCCTAAAATACTGTTTAATACCTCTTGCTAGGAAGAAGCAATCTGAACGAAACAATGTACAATGCACTCTTCAGTATATGGAGCTTCAAACAAGCTGGTAAACCCCTGCATGGGAGCGGTGAGGTCAGCGCCGGACAGCCGTCGCAACGTTTAACCTCCGTTTGCAACTTCCAGGTGCATACCCCCGTACTCCTTCATGTGTCTGATGGAGATCACTTCCAGCATCGCATGTAATGCTATCAATTACACATTCGTCAGATTATGTAGCATGTTTTTGGTTCAGATTGCCTCATCCTAACGGGAGTTACAACAGAATATTCAGGGCCTCTTTTGAGTGAATCTCCCTGTATTTCCCACTTAAAAGATGTTTAGTCAATGTTGTTGATAATGTTGGCCAAAGTTACAATTGCTGCTCCTGTGATTTGAAAATTGTGATTTCAATAAAAAAACGGTTAATCTTTCAGCCCTAATGCTGAGTGTCATATTCTTGGTAACTGGGCTTGAGAGGAACTGCGCCTCTCCGTGGTTGGCGAGAGTAGCCAGTTGTAATCGAGGGAGGATTCAAGAAGAGAACAGTCAAGCTGGATAGTTTTACCGGATTAACAGATATAACATTTCTTTGAAGCGCGTACATTTGAATTTTACAAATGTTTAGCCAACAATGGTTATGCTCAATCATCAAAAAGCTGTCTCTCTGCTTTCGCAGGCCAGGTGAAGAGCAGCTTCAGCACCTGCCTCTGAAAACTGCCGCTACCTTCTTCCCACAGGATTATAATGCCATTATAAAGTTACAGTGCTATAATCATATCATCGTAACATGCCAGTGGTGCTGACATAAGTCAGACAAAACTAAACAGCATGCATTGTACCGACCTAGACAGCATTTGGTTGGTACTGCCTGTTCCTGTTGTGTAAGTGAAAATATCGTTAATGTGTTAGCATATGTATTTGCTATAGGGTCTGTATTATGTGTTTAGAGTAACATTAACAGCCGTACTGTTAGCAAGTTTTCTTAACAGAATCACCACTACGGCATTTTAATAAGGGACTAGACTAGACCAGGCCCAAATCTGCTGTTAAAAGTAGAGATGGCATATTGGTATTGATGGGTATCAGTATTGGGCTCATATCCACAGAAATTGCTGGACTGGTTATCAGAAGGAATAAAAGTATGAATGCAATCCAATTCTGTAACAAATCTATCCTGAAATGGCACACACAAACATTGTGTGGTGTCATGTTGTTAGCTGTGTTTTTCTCCCTGTGGGGTAGTGGAGTGTTTGAGTAGTGTAAGGATGATACTTCTTTCAGATGCTAATTTTAAAGTCCCAAGGAACACAGTGTAAAATATTAAAAATGTTTGTATGATACTAAACCTGAGTGTTTTATTAAACATTTAGCAATGTTTGAATAAAAA